GCGCGCGCACACAGGGCGACGTGTTGTTCACCCTACCGGGCTACTCCGAGGAGGAGAGCACCCAGATCTACCAGCAGCTCATGTACCTGCTGTGCTCCCCGGGACACATTGGCACCATGTTCCAGGCCACCAGCACGAACGACATCACGTTCTGGGTGCTGCACCCCAGCGTCGACAGGTGCGCGAGCGACGACGAGAGACGGAGTAGTTGTTGTTGGTGGTGTAGTAGTAGGTAGGTGCGCGAGGGAAGGAGGAGGTAGTTGGTAGTTTTTGGTTCCTTGACGAATGAATAGTCGAAGGAGCAGAGGAGCGATACCTTCAAGCGAAGCAGCCCTTGGTACAGTATCCCGTCGTGCTTTCTGCTGCTGTAGGCCCACAATTTATTTTTTTGAGGCCGCCCTGGTAAGGGTCCCTCTCCGGTGTTGTGCGAGGAAGAGGAGGTATATGAGCGGTTTTTCGGTGGATTGTTTCCGTTTCTCGAAGCGGCGTGCTCGGGATGGAGGCGATTGCGCCTGTATTTTTTTGTGGCGCACCTTTTCCTGCCTCCTCTCCTTGAGGACATGTGCATGATACGTCACAAGCGCGAATGATGGGAGTCCCCCCCTGCTTTTACTGTGGTCCGGATTCGACGAGCACGTACCCCCCCCCCCCCCCCCCCCCCCCCCCTTCGACTAGACGAAAAACACACGAATCAGCCATGCACTGGTCGAACCCCAAAGCCAAAAGACAAGTCTTCAGCAACGCGTACCACTCCCTAGATGCCTGCCTCAAGCCATAAAGTCTCTTGTTCAGCTTCACAGTATTCCCCGACAACGCACCACATCCTTCCGGCAATCGCATGAAATTGTCTGCCTTGGGAGGGGCCCTCACAAATGCCTGATCGATATCGAAATGACACAACCCCAAGTCAAGCTCACACGCCAAAGCTGCCAACAAACGAACACTCGACGAAGCCACAGTAGGGGCACACAAATCACTTCAGTCAATGTACTCCTTCTGCATATCTCCTCTTGCAACAAGTCTAGCCTTGGTCTTCGTAGGAAAGCCGAATGCATCTACCTTCCAATCAAAAACAAACTTCGACTTGATGCAATTGTCAATTCGCTGCTACGGTCCGAAAAGCTTGAAAGCCTCGGCCTCAAGCAGCCTAAACACCTCCCGCTTGGCCGCGTCCATGAACTGCTCGCTGGGATCGCTTTCCTTCGCCTCCCTGAATGTCTGGGGTACTCGGAGGTCCTTGGCATGGCANCACAGTAGGGGCACACAAATCACTTCAGTCAATGTACTCCTTCTGCATATCTCCTCTTGCAACAAGTCTAGCCTTGGTCTTCGTAGGAAAGCCGAATGCATCTACCTTCCAATCAAAAACAAACTTCGACTTGATGCAATTGTCAATTCGCTGCTACGGTCCGACAACCTTGAAAGCCTCTGCCTCAAGCACCCCAAACACCTCCCGCTTGGCCGCGTCCATGAACTGCTCGCTGGGATCGCTTTCCTTCGCCTCCCTGAATGTCTGGGGTACTCGGAGGTCCTTGGCATGGCAGCGGGGCATGTCCGGGCGCAGGAGAGGTGGCTCCATCTTGCGGATTGCCGACTCGAGGTCGTCGCGCGTCGCAAGACGCCACGAGCCCAAGCGGAACGCCCCGCTTAGAGGGATCGACCGACCAACCACTCCCTACGAGCCCCTCCTTGCCGGTGTTCACGTGCGGTGAGCTGCCCTTGCTTTCCCCCACGTCCCCACTCCAAGCGAGCTGCTCGCCTCCGCCCCCCTTCTCGCCGCCCTCCTCCAATCCTGGCCGGAGCATTGGTTTGCCGTTCATCGCTCGCCAAGCACCCAGTAAGGAGAGGAGCACGTCTTCGTTGGCTTGAGACAGCCGTCCCATCGTGATCTCGGAAGGAGGGAGAGGCGTAGTGACGGCCTCATCCGGCAGGGGTGAGAGCTGTTGCCGAGCGATGGCGCGACCCTCCGCCCTCGTGCGTCCTTGCAGCTGAAGGTCGCCGCCCTCGCCTAGCTGTCTTCAGGCGTGGGATGTTAGGGGCGTGGTGTACCCCGGTGCGGTCGGTGGCGGTATGGTTTTCTTGCTTTGGCACGGTGGCGGTGCGCGTCCCGGCGGTGATGGCTCCGCCTCGATGGATGAAGACGACCATTCCGGCAGCTGCGACGGCGGTGATAGTGGCGGCGACGGCAACGATCTGGCGGCGGCAGCAGCGGCGGCGGGCGGCGGTGGAGCGGCGGATGACGACGACGCGGGCGGCCTCGGGAGCGGCGAAGCGGCGGCACCAGGCGAAGGCGCGGGCCACGACGCTGGGCCCGGAGGCGGCGTCGACGACGACGATCCTGCAGCAGCAGCGGCGGCGGCGGGCGGCGGTGGAGCGGCGGATGACGACGACGCTGGCGGCATCGGGAGCGGCGAAGTGTCGGCACCAGGCGAAGGGGCGGGCCACGACGCCGGCCCCGGAGGCGGCGGCGACGACGACGATCCTGCAGCAGCAGCAGCAGCGGCGGCGGGCGGCGGTGGAGCGGTGATCTCGAAGGGCAGGTGCTGGGGCGTGGGCAGAGTCCCCGCAGAGGGGGTTGATGAAGCAT